AATTAGTATACATCATCAATCGAATGTGAAGATTAAGAAGATCAAAGAAAAGAGAACGAGAACAGTGAATGATTGGCGTGAAAACTAAAGAACAATGAGGTCTGAGACGATTGATTGACATTTCGTAAACAAATTATTTACTGTAATGTTCTCAGATTTTACCAAAACGTCTATGTTACCATAGCCTTTCATTTAATCATTAACGACCAATTACTGGAAACTTAAATATTGTACAACCTAATAAGATGATGAAACGGTTACATTTCATCGATCACTTTTAACGACTCAGTTTTACGGAGAAAGAATAACAAAACTAGCATCACTAAAATAACTTCACTGTTTTTTTTAGAGATTTGAAACCGTCTTTGTTAATAACAATAAATGATTCTATGTCTTGTCTCATTGGGAATATCAGTTTCAATAAGAATACAGATACTTCTTGCATCTGTTATCATGAAATATAAATTTATAGCTATTAACAATCGTCCTTATTCACCTAAAAGCTTAACTGTTTAGTTGGGAATGTTTCTGTTGTGGCGACCCCAAAAACTCCTCGAAGAAAGCCATTAAAGGCTCTGAAAACACAGTCACATGTCGAGCCTCTGATTGGATGATTATTATACTGCTACTATGTTTAGTAGCGTTCCATAATTTTCGGAAAACTCAAAGAACATCCAAAATAATATAAAAACCCTAGATTTTCCGTACATAAAAGAACCTTTAGAACAAAGTGTTTCTTACATATTTCGCGCCCTTTCTCTCATGTTCAAGTCGCTGTGCAGTTCCAGCCTAAGGGTTACTAAAAGAGCTTAGGAAACAAATCTAGCGCTTAATTAGCAAGACTTATAAGTTTCTATGGCCACTTCAGTCATTGTTTATTCGATTACATTTCCTAATTGATTATTCTACAAACGACCTTATATTATTACCGATGAAACTCTATTCCATCATTGTAGCTAAGATATACCAGTAACATCAGTAAGCTAAATATTTAACCGCTCAGTACTTTGTGATGACAACTACCATATGAATTTGTCAGTATTAAGTGACCATCGTAACAACCTACTTCCAAATTATTAACTCAGTTTAGTACAGACATTTGTTTCTTTTTCTAAATGATAATTGTGGTCAGTGTTTGTTTATTTGCTTGTTTAACCTGAATGAGTGTATGGTTTGCAATAGTGTAGTTTAATAGACAACAGTAGATATTATCAAGTTTATTTTGTCGATATGTTATGTAATCATATGTGATTACTATTAATTAATTCATTGGGTAATTATTTGTCAATAATTCACTTTTATTAACTGATTTATTGGTTTATTTACTTAGTAACTTTGGTAGAGAATTGAAATGAAACAATAACAAGAAATTATGTAAAATTAGATAAATTCATTATTTTTCAGGGCCTTTTTTAGTTACGGACAGAATACGATTAAGAATAAACGTCTAAAGTAATTTAGTTAAGGAAGTCCATGTGCATCAGATCCTCCTGGTTTATTGGTGATGCTTCCTGGGTACGTGGAAGATTACACATCTTCCAGAACTACTCCATCAAGTGTGATTGGGTTGGTTTTCTACCTGTTGCATTTGAGAATCTTGCTTATTTGCCTATGAAACTTTGTCTTACCACAATCCATGAACCGTAAAGTTTTTTTCAATCCTGGAGCTAGGTTTCACTAAACAAAACTAGTGATGTTAAACAATGAAGTCAGGCGATTTCGTATTTAAAGCACTGCTTGATACATAGATTATCGTAGTGTGTACATGTATGGCACATCATTGAAAGGGACTGGTACATCAGCGAATAGAAAAAGTATCTATTTTCATATTGTAGTTCATGTTCCTACTCAAATTTGACGTTGTAATTTAGAAGAAAAAGCTATTAATAGGGCTCATTTAATCTGATACATAATTCCTCGGTTGGAAATTGTGTATTTGTGCTTATAAATAATCAAATATCTAGTGTATTGAAACAGCTCTGAGTTTATTATCCAGCCTATAGTTCAGTAAATTTATCTCGATACCTTCTGGTCATATAAACTGATATTCCTACCTATTACTGTCCATTAAATCAATGAATAAACGATACATTGATGAAGAATTTGGCATTTCAACGAAATCGTTTTACTTTTGTTATATGTAGGTATTCAGTGGAACCAGTACTGAAAGTTACAATCCAGATTTCGACTATTATTTATGAATTTGAATTGATTTACTTCAGAATACATTACATTCCAGAAATGAATTTCTAAACATTAATCAATGAAGAAGAAATGGTATACAATACTAACAAATTAAAAAGAGTAGCGGTGATATACAAAGAATTACTCTCGATAAACATTCATTTTCAAACAATCAGCAACTGAAAACTAAAGGTTTAAAGAAACAATAATCAGCTGAAGGCTTACATCAGTTTTAAAGAAGTCAAAATGTGGGAATAATCAACAGAAGACTAAACGATTTCCTTATGGTATAACCGAATATGTAGTGAACGAGAACACAAATGGGGACAAACGAATGTATTGGAATAAAGAATTATAGGACATTTTAATAAAATCTGAGAACCACTATACAGTAAATACTTCATTTGCACAATGTCAATCAATTGTCTCAAACTTCACTGTTCTTTCGTTTCCACACCAATCACTCTCTGTTCTCATCGTCTTTTCTTCGATCTTCTTAACCTTTCATTTTCGAATAATGATACATACTACTTATATCTATCAACATCAATAGCACACACTACAAATACAGTTTCAATCCAGTCTAATAATCGTTTCTTAATATGCTAATCACTTCTCTCAGAAACCTCCATGGATACAATATTGTCTGTTTAGTTATTTTCAAACAATTCCAGAACTTATTTAAGATATTTTGTATATCACCTAAATATACATTTCTGATAATTATTTACCAAATTCATTTATACAACCGAGTTAAATAATAACAGTATTCTATAAAATTTAAAATATAACAAGCTTGGTATAGAGAACTATGCATGTTAAACTCACCTATGATATTCATCAATATGTGATGAGATTAATGAAGTATTTTATCTTTATTTTCAGATAATAGGTGTGTAGATACAAGTATAAAGTCAGATGATTTGATAAACTCATATTATTGATTTGTTTAGTAGATACCTGGTGAGGAAGTTATTACATTTAAGTTACGTTGAGCACACATTTTTTGTTGGTCTTAAACCAGATCTCTTAGAAATTACTTTATTTATAAACAATTTTCTGTTGTGTTAAGTCACAAGTTTTATAAGCAAAAGTAGAAAGTGGCTAGCAGTGGAATCTAGGGTGAGCGTTTCGTCCTATTTAGGACTCGTCAATTGTGTGTACCTACATAACACAATGACGTTTGAGGCGGACGGTACCAGATCCACGTTCCACAGTGAATATCAACTTAGGGATGCAGGTACATTCAGATGACGAGTCACAAATAGGATGAAACTTGCGTCAAATTGGACTCCACTGCTAGCCATTATACATCTTTGTTTATAAAGCTTATGAACTAAGGCAATATTGACGCAATCCGCATGCGATGCACATATGCCAACAAGAGATTGATCAAACGCAGTCCTAAACAAGAACGGGAAGATACAAATAAACAATACTAAGTCAATTTTTTGTTGTGTATATAAATCTCCTTATCGAAAGTTAAGAAAAAACAATTAAATTAAGACTCTGAATATATCTAGTTGAAATAAAAGAAACCTTCTAAATTTAAACGAAAACTAAGTGGTTCCTTTTTTTCCATCAACGTCCAGATAATGTTCTACGTGTACCGTTGCCATAAATATGAACACAATCATTAAAATGTTGAAATAATAACCGAATAGACTTGGAAGGAGATTTCTTGTATGTATAATATACATTAGTTTTTAACAGAGATGGATAGTGACTAGCACTGTAAGCCAGGACGAGTGTTCCATCCTGTTTGGGACTCGTCAGCTGGATGTATTTACGTCTCGGAATTGATCTTCATTCGCTTCAAACGATCTAATCAACAAGGTAGTGGAGCAACGTCATGGGATGCAGTCCCATCGTAGCCGGTCACCAACAATCGATTCATACGCCTTTTATTCCTTCAGGGTCCTGGAGCCAGCCTATGTGTACTAATGGTTTGGTATCAGGGTTTTCCAACTCCCTTAGGTGGATCCCCCATATCCACCAACCCGGCTAAAGTGCTGGACACTCGTTTTTCGTCATCTCAATATTGTAAACAACACCCTCTCCGCGAGAAGGCAGTGAGTAGGACTTACCTGGCAGTGGTTGTATGCACGTGGCCATGCGAGAGCGTTTTGAGAAGGAGAGTTGACTCTCATCACTCTCGCCCATATCAGAGCATTTGAGGCAGTATACTATATATATACACGTCCGACTCCCATTTCAAATAACATTCAGTATAGTAGAAATGAAGAGAATATTGAACAATATATAACTATAAACCAACATAAACACAATAACTAAGATTATTTATTTATTTAAAAACACATATAATTTGGCACAAAGGGTCATTGTTAATACACACGCACTACACAAGTCACTTGATATGTGTGGATGGGCTATGATAATGTCCAAGTGCTCAAAAGTTAAAATGTATTTTCAAATGTAAAAAAAAAAAAACAAAATTTATCCGATTCATCTAAAACCAATAAGTTTTATTCATAAAAGAATAGATTCAGATAAAGTTAGTTAAAACAACAACAACAACATAGAAACTTGAATAAAACATTATATCATTAAAGATGATTGAATAATAAGAGATATACTATTCAAATTGTCATGTCAATTGTACTTATTTTATATAACAGAGTATATATTTGAATAATAGAACAGGAGTAAAAGTGAATAGTAATCACTACGGCAACAATAGACTTGGTGATAATAGAGTTGTAGTAACTAAGATGGGATAAACCATATATATATATATATATATACGTATAAATATAATTCGATAAAATAAGAATATCAACATAATGAATATCATTTTAATTAAAATCTGGAAATATTAATTCTTCTGAACATGGTGCATTATAAAATAATAAAATAGATGATTGATTGTAACAAATTGGAGATTGATATAACCATGGTAACGATGATTTACAAACAGGATTATGATAAATGTTTTGATGATAAAAACTATTTGAAAATTGTTGATAATCATTTTTATTTCCTGATATAGGACAATCAATGAATTCTAATGATGGATTTAAACATAGTCGAATTTCAGATAATTTAGCTGGTTTATCCTAAATAGAATATGAGCCAAAACACATACAAGAGAGAGAGAGAGATAGAGAAAAAAAGGAAACATGAATACAACGAGTTAAGAAGCTAAGCTGAAAAATGAACATGATCAGTACATATAATAATCTATTACTGAGTTGTCTATTGTTGGTGATGTTAGATCTCTAGAACTTACTTTGTAAATGCCTTATTTATAAGTAGGGAGAGTCCCCTCTCCCTCCTGAAATTCTCTTACATGGCCACGCAAATATAGCCGCTGACAGGGAAGTTCTACTCACTACCTTCTCGTGGCGGTGTTGTTTACGAAAATGAGAGGACGAAAAGCGAATGTTCGGCGCTTTAACCGGATTCCAAACCAGTGGTGCACATGGGCTCCAGTATCCTGCGGGAACAAGTGGCGTATGAACTAATTATTGGTGACTGGCTACCATGAGACTGCATCTCCTTACGATGCTCCACTTCCTTGTGGATCAGACCTTCAGGTCGAAGGCTCCGGGTGTGGTCCTTTAAGAACACTACCTGCTTCGGTCTGAGCACCCGGGCAGTATCACAGCTCTCACACATGTCAAATGAGATCTGTGTGGTGCATATGTATTTGGTGCCTCCTTGTACCAATATCTATGTGCTAAAATAAATAAATAATAGTATATATATATATATATACTTGTGTTGTGTTTGTTGTTGTTTGTGGAATATATTTTCCTCTTCCAAACATGGACTTCTCTCCCTGGTTAGCGAAGCTAGGATGCGTCGGAATAGCTAGTTTATTGGTCATTGTGTCACAGAATTTTCGTTTTGTTCTCATATTAGTTGAACTCGCAATCTCTTCAAACAGCACTACGCATAGGTGTTAATTATGTAACTCTTTAACTCAGGTTATATTACTTGACATGAAAACTGTCTACAAAATTTACAAAAGTCATATGCTACCCATCCTTACAATCAGACATGAGTATACAGGAGATAATCTATCATATTTCCTCCTTTTGAACAAATATTTACTGACCATTTATTTACCATTATGAGATGTTACAATTTGGAAACTTTCATATTAGATTCAGGGTTATCTACGATTGACTAAAAATTGATCATATATAATTCGGTTACAGAACTAAAGATTTTAGTTAACAGTTCCTAGGGTACGTTTGTTCTTTTACATCCATTGTTGGTGAGCTACATGAAACTGTTTCCCTTGCAAAATCTTAAGGGCTTAACAATCTTAGTGACAGTGTGATAAAAATTTAGTTATGTTTCACACATCTAAAAATAGAAATTTTGCTACAGGATTATGGTGGACTATGATGACAGTATCTAAATAGGAGTAGTCAGACCAAAGCATGGCAACAAGCTGTCAATTTCCTGCAAGACAGTTAAAAGCAATACATAAAGACATCTACTAAAATAACTCGAACTCTTAAATCCTGTCCCTCTCTGCTTCGAATATTCATTACTGCTGTATAATTTTCCCAATTCCTTAGAAATTTCACACATTGACTCTAGATAGACGTAAAATGTAAGAATTTCAACTGATATTTAACAGAAACTGGGACTTTCGCTGTAATTTTTTTGTTCGTCAGCAGCCACCTTTAACGCTGTAAAATGTGGATCGATTTATTTCAATAAATTTCATTTTGATAGTTTCCGTAAAGTCCAATCCGGGTCCGCCGGAGACAGTTATCCACTTCAAACAATGGATGAAGGATTGCGTAAGGTCATGGATCGATTGAAGTTGGACATAAACAGCATTGGATACCGGTTCAGTGATCTGCGGCTTAAGAGTTCGCGCGCGAGGCCGAAGCCTCTGGGTTCGAGTCCTGTGTGTGAGATCATGGTTACGCACTGCTGGGGAACTCCATACTAGGACAAAACAGCCATTTAGTGATTCCAGGTTTTCAATGGTATTCTAGCTTAGAGCGATTTATGAATTCAACTATTAAAATTAGTATAATCTTTACAAATCCCTATTCTGATAATAATTTATTAATTGGCAATAGAAATCATTGTACACTGTATAAAGCATTCTTACGTTTTGGAAAGAGCAAACCATTAACACATTCACACCGAAGGAACTCCTCAATTGATTAAGCACTACATCACGCTAGAACGAAAAAAGAGAGAAGAAAAAAATCACAAATTCAGTATCAGTAGGAGAAGAAACAATCATGAGTTAACTAAGTAATCCCATCAAATCTTGCTTGGTAATCTTAAGGAATTTAGAAACTATCTCCTGTACATTTGAGTAGTTGGGTACCCTAATGATAACATAAGTATAAGCAAAGTAAAAGCCATAGCAACTTACGGCAATGTGTTATTTCAGTATGATCCTGTGGCTAGAAAGAGACACCCAATGAAAGTGAAACTCGGTGTATAAGACATTCATAGATAAAACTCAAAATAAAAGTTAATAATCATTTTGCGGAAATCCTTTCTATATTCCTTGAAGAAAGAAGAAGTAAAAAAAAAACGCTCTCAACCAAAAAGGAATCTATTTGATAGTAGTTTTCTTAGATAACACATACCATTCTCATTCAATTATTTTTATTCCTTCATTTATTCTTTGATTATATTCCAACTTCAGTTATGTATCGCTTCATAACTTTACTTTCTTATTTGTGTAACACACATTTATCTTAATGCCTTAACGCTGTTAGGAAAGAACGGCATGTAAATTAAAGGTATGATGAAATGTGGCGGTTCTCAGTAACCTCTTATTATGTGATCTTTTGTGATCCTTATTGTGGATAATAAGTCACTGTTTACACTGACTTAAAATGTTTACAAATGTATCAGATTTTCTAGAAAGTTTAAAGAATAGTGGCATTCGTAATTGAAGTTTGAACAATAATTTCTAGTTGTAAACGGTTAAAGTGATCTTTCTGATATGGAATGGGACAAACGTGATAGACTGAACGGTTACTAAATTATGATTCGATGATTATCCATAGCGTGATGGGCGAATAAGTCTGGTAAGGAATTCTGGCGTCTTCACAGATACAACTTTCTCACAAATCTCTTCTCCTTTATTTGCGTGTCAGTCAGTTACAATAGTAGGACCAGGCACATACATACATAGGTCAAAGTTGCCACACATCATTATCACAGTAAAACGAACACCGGATTCATAGAAGCAGTTAACTCAATGGTGTAATATATAAAGGAAAGATTGCATATAAGGATATAGTACAGAAAGAAAGATATGAAATAATTCTAGTCTCATAGTTTAGGGAATTGTGATCGATTCTGAGCCATGTCACCAAGAGTCTCAAACCATTGGTTACGATAGTCACGCGGACCCCAACCAAGTAGAATGCATCTATCAACATGGCTAGGACTAGAAGTAAGTGACTTCAAGCACTGATACCACGTTTTGGTTTGACCGCCCCTAACTTTCTTTCAACCGTCCCCAACACTGCCCGCGAATGCCCTGGTACGGCTGAGAGTGGAGGGAGTCAGTTCTCCCCCTCGAATTACTATCAGATAGTCACGTGCATACAACCACTGTCATGGAAGTTCTACTCACTGCCTTCTTGTGGCATTACTGTTGTCTACAAAATTGAAAAAACGAAAAGTGAATATCCGGCGCTTTAACCGGGTTGGTGGTGGATATTGAGAATCTACCTAGAGAAGTTGGAAAACCCTGATGACAAACATGCAACCTACTTATTAAAAAGAGTTAAAAAGTGAATAAATGAATAAATATATAATGACTACATTTATACTTTTAATAATTTATCGACAAATTATAAAGAACATAGAAATTGGCACACAAACACACACACGCGGAGAGAGAGAGAGATGAAGTCGTCGTTCACAATAAAACTCGAATCATCATAACTTGCAATTTGAAAGTTTCATAACTATTTACTTAAAGAAACATTTAACATGTAAATACCAGAGAATGTTTGATGTTTATTGTCTATATGAAATATCATTATTTTTTAATTAAAAATATATTTAACTAAGTAACTAATTTATTTATATGTTTTAGCACATAGATATTGGTACAAGGAGGCACCAAATACATATGCACCACACAGATCTCATTTGACATGTGTGAGAGCTGTGATACTACCCGGGTGCTCAAACCGAAGCAGGTAGTGTTCTTAAAGGACCACACCCGGAGCCTTCGACCTGAAGGTCTGATCCACAAGGAAGTGGAGCATCGTAAGGAGATGCAGTCTCATGGTAGCCAGTCACCAATAATTATTTCATACGCCATTTGTTCCTTCAGGTTCCTGGAGCCCATGTGCACCATTGGTTTGGAATCAGGGTTTTCCAACTCCTCTGGATGGATCCTTTATGTCCACCAACCCGTTTAAAGTGCCGGACATTCGCTTTTCGTTCTCTCAATTTCGTAAACAACATCCCCGCCACGAGAAAGCAATGAATAGGACTTCCCTAGCAGAGGCTATATACGCGTGGCCACATGAGAACATTTCGAGAGGGAGACCGGACTGTCCCCACTCTTGGCTGTACCAGGGCATTTGAGGGCAACTAACTAAATAACTAACCTTTAAAGTAACCAAATTATTTGGTTTAATTTTGATTGAATCAAAACGACTGGAAAGAAAAACGAAAACAAAAACAAGAATAAGCAAATAACCAAAGAGAACAATCTAATGTGATGTTTATATGAACGTTATAATTAACTTGTTATACGAAATTCGAGGTTATAAACACATTAAAAAGGGTCAACATACTAAATGAACATGAATTAGTCAAGGTTTAGAGAGAGAGGGAAACATACACAGCTAATTGTATAAAGACATTTTATGTGAAAATTATATTTGAAATAATCTCAGCGGTTGAAATTTAAAGAAAAAAATAATTCCAACGTTCCGTCCAACTAGCTTGTCTGGACTTCTCTTCAGAGTAGAATGCTCAAAATCAAAATCATCAAGGAATGATGATATAGCACGCTTTTAACAATCAAATCAAATTAAATCTATACTGTGTTAATCCCAATTATATTTGGATATTGACTTTAGTAAATAAAATAACATGAGTCAGGTACATGGGAATCATGTGAAAAGTTGACGACGTGGAAATAAATTATTTTTTAAAATTTCAATCGTTTAGATTATTTCAACTATAATTTTCTAAACATGGCGCCCAGTTTTTGTCAAACTATTCGTTCTAATCTTGACGAATATACGTATAATTGTATAAAGGTTTTAGAATTCGATTACAGTCATTACTAATTCATAAATGTTCTGTACATATGTTTAGGATTTATGAAGTATCTTTCAAATGAAATGTATGTATAACCATTGAATAATGTCCATATGAATCTACTTCGTTAATTTCTCTGATAAATTTAGATGTCTTGTCTTATTTAAACACATAAAAATCAATGTAAGGAGGCACTGAATGTAAATGCACCACACTTCGTCATTCGATTCGTGTAAGGGCTGGGATACTGCACGGACGCTTGAACCGAAGCAGATGGTTTTCTTAGAAGGCCAATCCCAGAGCTTTTCATATAGAGATCTGATCCACAAACCAGCGGAGCAACTTCAGGAGATGCAGTCCCATGGTAGCCGGTCGTCAACAATAGATTCATACGCCATTTATCCTTCGAGGATACTGGAGCCCATGTGCATCATTAGTTTAGAATCAGGGTTTTCCAAATCCCCTAGCCGGATCCCTCATATCCACAAACCTTGTTAAAGCGCTAGACATTCGCTTATTGTCCTCTCAATTTCGTAAACAACACTACCGTCACGAGAAGGCAATGAGCAGGACGTCCCTTGCAATGGTTGCATATGCATGACCATATGAGAACATTTGGAGGAAAGCTGACTCTTTTCACCCTCAGCCATTTGGAAGTCATGTTTTGTTAAGTATAAATCGGTAACACCAAACAAGACATGTTAGTATTACCGATTTACGTTTGACAAGATTTTTGCTAATTTATAAATTACAATGTAATAATTGTGAAAGAATAACGTGATTTATATAGCCTCTTGAAGTTCAAAGTGTGTAGGAATTATCTACTACCAAGCTTACTAATGAAACTTGTACAAAATAACGACGCTGAAAGATAGACAACGCCGTTGTAATCCCAGCAAAGTAAACTTTAGTGAACTAGTATCCGACTCCAATTAAATCGCATGATGATTGGTTTCTAAATATACATCCTGGTTACCTTCGTATACAATCATCGACTTAACTCGCGTTAGTGAATAACAGAATTAAATAAGTCAAATATGGGGATGAATTTCGAATACGCACATTTCGTACAATCGTTGATCTGAACAGACAATCAGGGAGACGCAGTGAAGGAAGCGAATTGAAATAAAATGACGCGCAGTGGAGAAGGAGAGTGAGCCAACAATATTCAACCAAGCGTGACACAATATTTATAGTCAGACAAAAATATGTTACAGATATGTGGTGAGTAGAGTAAGGGATTAATAAACACACTCATATTAGAACAGGCACAAGGTTAAAAAGCGGCTCAAGACGAACGAATAAATTAGTCTGTCAGGAAGATAGAATAACCCATGTGGGTTTGACATAGCACCAGCCAATACACAAAACTAATTATCACCAATTCTAACTGCATCTCATAACCTTTCTCTCTGTTCATCAGTTGAGAAAAGAATTCATACTTTGCCCAGAAGATCTTATTCACCAATAAGTAGTAAAATTACCCAGAGCACAACTCTCATGTAAAAGTATATTCATCGATTAATAAGATCCCGTAATAAAACATAACAGAATCAATTGGATAATATAATCCTTATAAGTGGAGCAAGCTATAAAAAAAAACTAGCAACGTGAAAAATCGATGTCCACATGCACTAAACTACGATTTTACAACTATAACAAGACTATTTACTATCCTCTCCTTCTCTCCTACTTTAACTAGAGTGAAAAGTTCAGTTGTTATATAGATGCTTGCTAACCAAGATCCAATAGAATTTAAAATATACTTAAAATGATTAATTATAATGAGTCGATTACAATAATTATGACTTAGTAACGAAGATATCATCAGTGAACACAAATCGTCTACGACAACTGCATTGAAAGTACATGAACAGCATTCGTACTGAGTAAATTAATGTAAAACAAAAACAAAAAACAATTCATCTTGAATCAATACTGATTTCCTTCCTCCTATAGTGCTGTATTTAAACATCCCATATATACTGGCCGGTGACCTATGCTCCATTGAGAGTAACAGACGTACTTACTTACTTATGCCTGTCAATCCTCGTGAAGGAGCATAGGACGCTCTCAACAGCATTCTCCATCCAACCCTGTTCTGGGCAATTCTTTCTAGCTCTTTCCACTTGTTATTCATCCCTTTCATATCTGCTTCTGTTTCCCGACGTAATGTGTTCTTTGGCCTTTCTCTTTTCCGCTTTCCTTCACGATTCCATGTTAGGGCTTGCCCCGTGATGCAGTTTGATGATTTGCGTGATGTATGTCCTATCCATTTCCAACGTCTTTTCCTAATTTCCTGTTCAGCTGAAAGCTGGTTTGTTCACTTCCACAGAAGGATGCAGCTGATGGTATCCGACCAGTGCATGTTGAGTATCTTGCGTAGACAGCTATTTATAAATACTTGTACCTTCTTGATGATGGTTGTAGTACTTCACCAAGTTGCAGCTCCATACAGTAGAACTGCCTTGACTTTCGTATTGGAAATTCTGACTTTGATATTGGTTGGAAGTTGTTTTGGGTTCTATATGTTCGTCAATCGTAGGAATGCGGCCCTTGCTTTGCCAATCCTCGACTTTACGTCTGCATCTGATCCTCAACAGGAATTTCAATTCAAACAACCAACTTAACATAAAAGATATTTTGAAGATCCATTAACCTTAATATGAATGACAATTAAACAGTTATAAATCATATAAATTGTCCCCTAAAAATCTTTTAATCATGTTATCTAATAAGGATATAAACACTTCAGATTATTTTTATCATATGAAGACAACATACAATATATGGTATTTACCTCATACAATTCATCATAACATAATTAATCTTGTTGAATGATAGTGAATGTTTCATACACCTTTTTGTAAATGTTCCTAATCTGATAAACCATATCACACTGTCATTTATTTTTAACAGCGATGATATTTACAAGTAGATATAATCATTCTTCATTGGCGATAAACAAGAATGTCCAAATCAATGATTCTATATGATTTGACTCAGTCAGTTAATCAGTCAATCATAAATAAAGTAGAACCTGGGGGAAATTAACAAGATGAATATTAAAGCACTGGTAAGAATAGTAGTAGTGTGGTAGACACTTACTTACTTACGCCTGTTACTCCCAATGGAGCATAGGCCACTGACCAGCATTCTCCAACCCACTCTGTCCTGGGCCTTCTTTTCTAGTTCCATCCAATTCTTGTTCATTTTTCTCATGTCTATCTCCATTTCTCGGCGTAATGTGTTCTTTGGTCTTCCTTTTTTCCTTTCGCCTTGAGGATTCCATGTGAGGGCTTGTCTTGTGATGCAGTTAGGTGCTTTCCTCAATGTCTGTCCTATCCACTTCCAGCACTTCTTCCTGATTTCTTCCTCCGCTGGGATCTGATTTGTTCTCTCCCACAGTACGTTGTTGCTAATAGTGTCCGGCCAATGGATCTGAAGTATTTTGCGTAGACAATTGTTAATAAACACCTGTATTTTCTGGGTGATGGCTTTCGTAGTTCTCCAGGTTTCTGCCCCATACAGTAGAACTGTCATGACATTTGTATTGAAAATCCTGACCTTGGTGTTGGCTGACAGTTGCTTTGAGTTCCAGATGTTCCTCAGTTGTAAATATGCTGCCCTTGCTTTGCCGATCCGCGCCTTCACATCTGCATCAGATCCACCCTGTTCATCAATGATGCTGCCCAAATACGTAAAGGTTTTTACATCTTCCAAATTTTCTCCGTCAATTGTGATTGGATTGGTTTATTTTGTGTTGTATCGGAGAATCCTGCTTTTCCCTTTGTGTATATTGAGACCTACTGCTGCTGAGGCTGCTGCCACACTGTTCGTCTTCTCCTGCATCTGTTGTTGCGTTTGGGATAGAAGGGCCAGATCATCTGCGAAGTCTAGATCATCCAACTGCATCTTAGGTGTCCGTTGTATCCCGCGCTTCCCTTCAGACGTTGACGTCTTCATGATCCAGTCGATCACCAGGAGAAAGAGAAAGGGTGAGAGTAAGCAACCTTGCCTAACATCGATCTTCACTTCGAATGACTTTGTCAACTGTCCTCCATGCACAATTTTGCAGTGTAATCCATCATATGAGTTCTGTATGATATTGACTATCTTCTGGGGCACGCCGTAGTGTCGAAGAAGTTTCCATAGTGTTGTTCTGTCCACGCTGTCAAATGCCTTTTCGTAGTCAATGAAGTTGATGTAGAGTGATGAATTCCATTCAATTGATTGTTCCACAATGATCCGTAGAGTTGCGATTTGGTCTGTACACGATCTATCCTTACGGAATCCTGCCTGTTGGTCACGAAGTTGGGCGTCTACGCAGTCCTTCATCCTGTTTAACAATACCCTGTTGAAGACTTTTCCCGGTATTGAAAGAAGAGTGATGCCCCTGTAGTTATCACACTTACTGAGATCGCCTTTCTTCGGTATTTTGATCAGAAGTCCTTCTTTCCAGTCTGTTGGTACTTGCTCCTCATCCCAAATCTTATTGAAGAAAATGTGGAGTATCCTTGCAGTTGCCGCTACGTCTGCTTTTAGTGCCTCTGCTGGGATGTTGTCCGGTCCTGCTGCTTTGCCACTCTTGATTTGTCTGATGGCCATGCTGATTTCTTCAATTGTTGGTGGGCCAACATTGATTGGGAGGTCCGTGGGTGCTGCTTCGATGTTGGGTGAGTTCAGTGGAGCTGGTCGATTCAAGAGTTCTTTGAAGTGTTCTACCCACCTGTTTTGTTGCTCTTCAATGTTGGTGATTACCTCGCCTTCCTTGCTTTTCACTGGTCGTTCTGGTTTGCGGCGATTTCCAGAGAGTTTCTTTGTCGTGTCATACAATTGTCTCATGTTTCCTTCCCTTGCAGCCTTTTCTGCCGTCGTTGCTAAATCTTCCACATATTTACTTTTGTCGGTTCTGATGCTCCTCTTCACTTGTTTGTTTACTTCTGTGTATTCAGCTTGTGCCTTGGCTTTTTCTGCTCTTGTTCGACTGGCATTGATTGCTGCCTTCTTGTTTCCTCTTTCTTGAATCTTACCCAGTGTATCAACAGTGATCCATTCCTTGTGATGGTGCTTCTTGTGACCCAGGACCTCATGACATGTTGAAGTGATTGCTTCTTTGATCCCCTTCCAGTTGCCCTCCACAGTAGTTCCCTCTCCATTGAGTAGATCATGAAAGGCCTGGAACTTGTTGCTGAGGACTATCTTGAATTTGTTGAGTTTGTTAGTATCCTGAAGAAAGGCCGTATTAAACTTTTGTGATATTGTCCGCCCCGTTGTCCAGTGTTTCTTCAGTTTCAACTTCATCTTGGCGACCAGCAAGTGATGATCTGAGGCTATATCAGCTCCTCTCTTGGTTCTCACGTCCTCTATAGTCCTCCTGAACGTTTTGTTGATGCAAATATGGTCGATTTGGTTCTGTGTAGAGTGATCCGGTGAAGTCCATGTGGTTTTGTGTATGTGTTTATGTGGGAATATGGTGCCGCCTATGACCAGCTTATTGAAGGCACATAGATTTGCAAATCTCTCACCATTTTCGTTTCTTTCTCCAAGTCCGTGTCGTCCCATGATGTCTTCATATCCAGTGTTGTCCGTCCCAACCTTGGCATTGAAATCTCCCATCAGAATGGTCAGGTCCTTTGTTGGGCACTTCTCGACGATTGACTGCAGCCTATTGTAGAATTGATCTTTAGCGTCTTCATTGTAGTCGTTGGTAGGCGCATAGCATTGGATGATGTTCATTGAAATGCCCTCTTTCTTTGTTTTGAACGAGGCTTTGATGATCCTTGGTCCATGAGATTCCCATCCTATTAGCGCATTTTGCGCTTGTTTGGACAGCATCAATGCAACTCCTTGTGTATGTGGTGCATTTTCTTCTTCATGGCCGGAGTATAACAGGAGCTCTACTGTAGTTAGTCGCTGTTGTCCAACTTGTGTCCAATGTGTTTCACTGATCCCAAGTACCTCTAGGTTGTATCTTCTCATTTCTGCAGCAATTTAGAAGGCTCTCCCGGTGTCCCACATAGTACGAACATTCCATGTACCTAAATAAATGGTCGCTCTGGTTGTCAGAAGGGGCATCGGCCTCGTAACTTCCGAAGGAATTCGGCTTTCATCATGAGGCGTCATAATTCTTCTAAATGAAGACCTTTTGACTCCCAGGGCAGAGTTTAAAAGGTTTGAATAATTTTTTCTGGTTAGCGTTTTTTTAGCGAGTTAGTTTTCTACGGGATGGGGACGCTAACCCCATGCCCAACCCTCCTCCTTTATCCGGGCTTGGGACCGGCAGTAGCCCCCGGAGGGACTCCAGGCGGTAGACACTACTCACAAGATTTCTTGTAAGTAGTATGTAGCGAAGCGTGAAGTCGAAGCTGTCACAGTCGTCAAACGGAGGGAAGAGTTTCAGTACATTTAAAGCACAGCATACACAAAACACTTGAAGATCAGATAAGAAAACAGTTTGGATTGCAGAACATATTTCAACCTGAAATCATTATGCTAAATGCTCTTAGCAGACATTCCTATAACATATAATGAGCGACGAGAATAGTATTAAGGGTAACAGAAAACTTTATGTTATATCCCGATGAGAATAATGAATGGTAACTGTTGGAATCTATTTCTAGACTAATACTATACATCTATTTTTATTGTAATTGAACTAGTCATATTCATGTTCCTCTTATTAGAAGCTTTATTTTGACCCATAAACTATTGTTATACGATTTACCGTTCTTGAATTATTCCAAGTCTACTATTTACAGTCTTCCACATTCACAGCTACTTTTGGCTAAATCTTGTACATATGTTACTTTCTATTCTATGGTGTAATGCAGTCTGTTTGGTTTGTATATAAACCCAGTATGTTTGAAATATACGATGTCGCGGAGTCTAGGACTAGTATTCTGGAGTCAACAGGCAGGAAGACTATATGATTTTTTCAAACTTTGAAACAGATAAATTATTCTAATCCTTCTATCTGTCTTATCAGCCGTGTGTTTGCTCTAGCCAACTACTCACTTGCAACCTTGATCATCCATGCTAGTGAGCATCTGTCCGTATACCTGTATCTTCTTCACCTATTACTCATGAGGTTGGGGTGTCGACCTTCTCCATCTCTCATCTTCACGTCTGCCTGAGTAAACGAGTATTTGAAACAAATTCGTTCAAGTTAATTTGTATTTGGCTTTTATTACCTCCGTCGCCCAAAATGGATTAGCTTATGTAGAATAGATGAGATCAAATGAAGAATTCATATTCATGGATCATTATTCAGCAGTTCGTTAGCGAGCCATAAAGCGGACTTCGACCAGTAGTCTCCTCATCATCATCATCATCATCATCATCATCATCATAATCATCATCATCTAGTCATATACATTAACAAAAAAAATAATGATTGTACACCAAACGTTGATATACAAAAAAAACCCAATAATGTTGACGTAAGATATTACCTCATTAAATTCATTTTCAATTTTATCCCAAGTGAAACATTGAAATAATCCAATTCATTTAATATAAATGAATCATCACTTGCGGCACAAACACCATGTTTACTCCATTCATGTTCCCTAAAACAAAAAAGACCATAGAGGGGTTTTGTCGAGATTGTAGTAATTTAGTAATTGAATTCATGAGTCAAATCGAAGCTAGACACCACCATGGAAAACCCGAAAGTACTGGACGGTAGTATCATCCTACTATGGGACTAGGATGATCATTGAACGAACAAACAAATTAAATGAATAACTGTAAACCGAAATATTTTATCATTCTAAAGCCTATTTTAAAACCTGTTGATTTGCTTATTTCTTTATTTAAACAGTTCAGTCAATAAGATGACCCTGGTCCGTTCGAGTGAATGAATCTTGAAGAGAAAAAACATTTACTAAACTCAATGGTAACTACACTGATATGGATGGAGAATATTTGTAGCTCATGTGGATGATTAAGGTTTTATTCTCTGAACTGGATGGTTTGATTGCGGAACATTCATTGTTCTTCTGAACAATATCATCAGTACATACTCCAGTTTGTGTAGAACAAATAAATGTGCTATTATTAATCATTGTAGATATAATTTTGTACTTATAAACGTAATAACAACAAAATAAGTACTTACAAATTATGTATTTAATGGAAACATCTATAACTTAATAGAACAATTACAGTTGCTTTGTCAATAAGTATTCTATAAAACACAATTTAAAATACAGTAATCCAGATGTAAACCCATGTGATGATATAATAAAAGTACAAAGAAAGTTACTTAAATTTACTAACTAACATACTGAAATGAATTCAATATATTAAGTATCAGTCGTATAAACTAATAAGCGAGATATTTTAAAGAAGTTATTCACACTCCAAGCTATTTCAACGACATTCTTTAATTGGTCCTTCTGGCCCCCAAATGCCCTGATACGGCCAAGGGTGAAACAAGTCAACTCTCCCCCTTGAAATGCTTTACATGGTCGCTTTTATACAGCCACTGCTAGCGAAGCCCTACTCACTGCCTTCTAGTGATTGGGATGTTGATTACAAAACTGACAACACGAAAAGATAATGTCTAGCGCTTTAACCAGGATGGTGGACACAGAGAGTCCGCCGAGGAGAAATGAAAAATCCTCATCTCAAACCACCTGCTACCATGAGACTGCATCTCTTTACGTTGGTCCACTGCCTTGTAGATCAAACCTTTAGGTCGAAGGCTACTGGTGTGAACCCCCAAGAAAACCACCTGTTTTGGTTTCAGCAACCAGGTAGTATCATCCCATACAAAATTCAAGTGACCCGTGTGGCGTATATTTATTCGGTGCCCCTTTGTACTAATATTAATGTGTTCAAATAAATAAAAGCGAGACATTTTAAAGAAATTATCCATATTCTAAGCTATTTAAATGACATTCAATAATGGATCTTGTTCATAATATTAGCTCAGTTTTTTAAACGGAGTAGATTTATTCAAAGTTTTTAATCGATCTATTTTATCACCATTCTATGGAAGCTATAAACGAACTATTAGAACAGTTATAAACAAAGATCGATAGTGGCTAGCCGTGAAATTCAGTTTGACTCGCGTTTCTCCCTATTTGTGACTCATCAGCTGGATATACCTGCATCTCAGATTTGAGTCCCAGAGTGATCATCAACTGTGAGATGCAGGCACATCAAGCTGACGAGTCCAAAATAGGCAATTAATGCACGTCAAAATAGATTCGTGCGTCATGGATCCCACTCCTAGCCACTTCCCATCTCTGATTATTAATAATGTTGCCCTTATTCGTAATGACAGTATTATCATGTTGTGTAAGATGAAAAGTATGCAAACTTTTGAGAACGTGAAACTGTTTAATCACATATGTGAATTTCCTAAATATTATCAACCAGTTAGTCACAATATAGAACCTGGTACGTATGTGCATCGATTCAAGTTGTTATACTCCATCAGGACAAAGGGATAAAATTTTCAGTCCGAATCCCAGAATAGAAGGGATAGTAACAGTATGAACGGTAATTGAAAAGATCAGGAATCAAAGGTATAGTTTAAGAAAAATATGAATCAATGAAATAAAAACAAAAACGTTTTGAGGAATTCCGAACCTCAGAATTTGGGGGAAGACAAACAATCGATGCGCCTGCGCCAATGCAAACGATTTTGGGGTATTTCATTCAAAGTCTCGTATCATTGGTTATGATAATTACACGTACGTCAACGAAGTAGTCTGTACCTAATAACATGGCTAAGTTCAATTGTCACTAACTTCATGGGCTGATGCCATATTTTGGTTTGGCCGCCCCTAACTCTTCTCCAGCCTACTCCTGCACCATAAAACATTGCTCGTCGAGGTAGGCAGTAAATGTACATATGTAACACACGCCCCAACCACATCAGTGGATGAAGATTTACAACTTCATTAACCGATTTCCTATCCCAACCTAATACTCTATTCCTAATCCAGGTATAACTTACCTGATGATCCCAAAATACACGAGCAATGCCTCGAAGACACCTATGATCCAATACTAGTAACCTACGTATATTCTGCATTCCTAACGACCATGTGTCACACAAATAAAGTAGGACGGAGCGAACTGCTGCGCAGTAAACTCGTCCTTTGTCTAATAGACAGATACATCATCTACACTACAAGTGACGCAAGTTGGCAGAAGCTACTCGAGGCCTACTGAATCCGTGCCGTTGTATGAACTGAAACAAGAGAGTTTAGATTTGTCTTAGTTTACATCCATTGTAAATAATCTGAATTCAGCAATCAATGTCAAGTGAATACTGTTTATCATAAAACATCAACTGTTGCCATTATCTTACATTCTAATTAAATTATCATTGACATTAATTAGGTAGGGGAAATTGTAAGGCTAATTTACCTCGCCGTTGAGAAGTACTTACAAAGCAATCTCGATATTTTTTACCTTCACAATGCATAATAAAGAACTTAGTGACTGAATTACATTGGCTTAACAACTTATAAGAACTATGGTGTCACGTACAATCATGTTGTTTGAGATCTTGGTCTAATTGTGAAACCCTGCGTGCAACCATTAGCCTAAGAAGCTTGGTCTCTGGAATAAACACGAGTTCGTATTTTTTTTGTCTTTTTTGCAAAAACATTATGTTTAAGATAACAGGAAGGAGTGAAATTTTCCTACAAGTACAAATGGAACCCGAAAATGATACCGATGGACTAATTACATTTTTTTACCCTTCAACACTTTTATTGTATATTACTTGCCCCACAGATTGCTGACAAAGGGGTACGGCGTTAAAAGCGTAGAGCTAATATACATAAAACTAATGGAAAAAAGGGAATCTTCCTTGCTTCATCCAGTTGTCCCTTAAGGTCTACCAGTCACGCTCTCAGGTAGTTAGGACTACTGCTAAACTAATCTTCTATTAAAACATCCTGATAAGTACACTTCCGCAGTGTGGGCAAAAGGGAATCGATAGTTGGTACTGCAATCTAAAGAAAATTGATGCTCCCTGTAGGAATCAAGCCCGTGTTACCTAGCTTCACAGTTCAAGACGTTACCATTGAGCTGTTTTATCAGAACCGCCTAAAGAAAGACAAAGTTCACAAATTACATCATTCATATTGTCGCATGTAGTGGACATTCGACATTCTTCATTAAGTATCATCTGTAAGATACAGTCATACATCGCTTCACACTGAAGAAGGCTTAGTCATAATACATCCCTTAATTTGAGTTATGTGGATAAGACCATTGAATTGAACGTAATCGCCAGTTATATTATCCCATCTTGTAAGAATGACTTGTTTTTCGTGTTCAACAAGTCATCACCTGATAATCCGCAGCCAAAGAATAAATGTGTCACTTAAAATCAGTTGGATTGCTAAACCCTCACTTGTACCCAGAGTTAAATCTGTATTCCATATAGGTGTTTGTGTTGTGGCAACAATCGTTGGTCATGAACTTTACAAGCTGGAGATGTTGGTTGTCCTCCAGCTGGTAATAAAACACTCCCAGGGCTGCTGTCATAATCGTAGTAAGCAAGAAATATATTTTCTTATCCCTCTCGTTCAATGTGACAGTGAACTGAGGGAACAACCACATATTATACCTACGAAAGCAAAATGGTTCACACATTTATGATCGAAAACATTTACTTCATGCTGCTAACATAAACTTGATTAAGAATCGTCTTCAGAATATAAAATCTGGATAGTCAGATTGGAAAAGCCTGTCTAAGTTAACTGATTATTTAATCTATCTTAGATAGGTTATGGTTTACCATTATTCTACTTTACATATCGAATACAATATTTATGAGATCCAAGTGCACTTCTGCGTGACGTTGTCATAAAAGACATGTCTCCTCCAATTTCATGCAATTGGTTCCCTTTATGAATGTAAATAAAGCAAGAACAAATATTGATGCAGAATAGTATGAATTCATAATATTTCTAAGTTTCTCGTTAGCTGCTTACAAACCAAAAAAATGTGATAGAATTTTTACATTTGAGATAGTATGAAAACAATTGACATAAATGAGTGTAACTAACTGAATTACAATAATAACTATATAAATATGCTAGAAGAGGTCAGAGGTTAAAAAAAAAGGGAATTAATTCAGGGTGAGTGGTGTAATAGTTTAGTGAAGTTCATTAATTTTGTGATAATTTTAGAGATTAATGGAATTGAATAATGATAAGATGGGTTACGTAATAATAATTAAATAGAATTTGAAAAGTGAACATAATTTCAGTCAGTCAGTCAGTTCCAACGTAGAACTTCGTACGTACGTACATCATTTCGAGTTGCCACACCACATTAGCACAGAGATGCAGTGGTCGATTCAAATCCCATAGTGCTAGATGTAGTAAGATTATAAGCAGTAATCGGAAAGATTAGGGTTTGAAGATGTTATTCAAGGACTATAATCCAGTGAAATAAATTTGGAAAGAGAAAACAGAAAGGGACATGAAGAAATCAGAAGATTAGAATTTGGGAGAACACAAAGAGTGGATGCACCTGAACCATCGCAAACGATTTTGAGCCATGTCATTCACGGTCTTTACCCATCGGTTGCTATCATCTCGCAGTCCCCAACCAGGTAGTCTACACCTACCAACATGACTCAGTTCACTTGTCAGTGACTTCATGGACTTGTGCCAAGTTTTTGGTCTGGCCGCCCCTAGCTTTCTTCCAACCTACTCCTATACCACTGAACATAGCACGTCGAGGCAGTCGGTGGTTGGGCATACGTAACACGTGTCCCAGCCATCTCAACTGATGAAGTTTCACTACTTCATCAATTGATTTGCCATCCTTACCTAGTACGCGTTCCCTAACAACTGCATTACTTACTCGATGGTCCCAGGATATACGAGCAATGTTTCGAAGACACCTATGATCGAATACTAGTAGCCTATGAATGCCCTCTACTCTTACCGGCCATGTTTCATTGCCATAAAGTAGGACGGAACGAACTCCTGCGCAGTAAACACGTCATTTGGTTGATAGACGGATATCTCGTCTACGTCATAAATGACGCAAGTTGACTAAAGCTAGTCGAGCCTTCTGTATCCGTGCTGAGATTTCGTCACACCAGACCACAAGGGCTGATGATACTTCCAAAATAAGTGAAGCGATCGACACGCTCAACTACTTCACTCCCTATCACTAGTTCGGGTGTCGATGTAACCCAATGCTGAAGCAACATTTTGCATTTCGAACATAATTTAAGAGGTTCAGGTGGTGGAAATGTGTGAATAATAATGTGGTTTAAGAATTAGTTAATAGGGGGAGGGGTAAAAATATTTTAAAATAAATAAATGAATAAAACAACTCAAATAACCGACAAAAAAAAACAAAAAAACAAAAAAAAGATTCAAGGATTACCAGGGTAATGATAAGTTTATTTATGGGAAACCTAGAACAAAAAAGCTTAAGCACTCAATCGATTGTACTACGCTGTATTGCAGATATATTGATGACACATCCCTCGTCTGCAACAATCACGAACACGCCATTAAGCTATTCGATCTATTTAATAAAGCACACGAGGACAGAGTTTACTATGGAACAAGAAGGTGAAGACAAAATCCATTTCCGTGATGTTGGGATCAGACGAACATCTGATGGTAAATTGCATAGACATATTCACCATAAAAATACCTGGAGTGGTCTATATCTCAATTACCACAGTTTCTGCCCAATGAGTTACAAAAAGGGTATTGTACGAAGCCTTTTTGACCGCGCTCAAAAAATTTGTTCAACAGAATACCTTGATGATGAAATTAATCTGATTACTAATGTTCTACGTGATAATGAACACCCAATGAAATTCATCCAGAAATATGCAATAACCAATCCTCGTACAAAATACGATGGAGTAGAAAAGAAAACTTGCTTCTTACATTTACGTTTCAAAGGTGATGAAATTGCCGGATTAATTAGTCACAGATTAAATTCTGCGTTGAAAGGGGCCTACGCAGCAGCAAAACTTACGACAGTATGGCAAACGAACTGCTCACTTAAACAAACTAAAATCGACAAGTCCTCTTTTCTTAGTAGCTTCAACTGTACATGTACGTGCCAAAGCACATACATTGGAAGAACTGAGAGAAGAGTACATGTTCACATTTCTGAGCATGTTCCGAAGAACTTGCGGCTGCGAGGTACTAAGGCTCTAAACAGTGCAATAGCTCGGCATTTAATTGACACCGGGCATACCGTCAACATTTTGCACGCTTTTAAAATTATCAATAGACAAAGAAATACGACTACTCTCCGTTTCACTGAAGCAATTGCGATAAAAACAAAACTTAAACCGGATTTATGCACTCAAAAAGAGACAGTAATAAACTTATCATTACCCTGGTAATCCTTGACTTTTTTTGCTTTTTTTGTCGGTTATTTCAGTTATTTTATTCATTTATTTGTTTTAAAATATTTTTACTCCTCCCCCTATTAACTAATTCTGAAACCATATTATTATTCACACATTTCCACCACCTGATCCTCTTAAATTATGTTCACTTTTCAAATTCTATTTAATTATTACTACGTAACCCATCTTACCATTATTCAATTCCATTAATCTCTAAAATTATCACACAATTTATGAACTTCACTAAACTTTTACACCACTCACCCTGAATTAATTCCCTTTTTTTTAACCTCTGACCTCTTCTAGCATATTTATATAGTTATTATTGTAATTCAGTTAGTTACACTCATTTATGTCAATTGTTTTCATACTATCTCAAATGTAAAAATTCTATCACATTTTTTTGGTTTGTAAGCAGCTAACGAGAAACTTAGAAATATTATGAATTCATACTATTCTGTATCAATATTTGTTCCTCCTCCAATTCATTTGAGTAGTAGGATTATAATAATATCTACGATAATCAGACTATATTATGAACCTTATATTTCCATGATCACTAAAAGTTTTTAACAGGATCAGTACACAGTTATACAAAATAGAATTTTACCAGAAATCTTCGGGATTGTCAAAGTCATTCAGATTAGCCCATTGTTTCTGTAATTCACCATAAATCGGCTACAAAGTACAGACAATATGACAAAACATGGATAAATTGAATCTACAAACTGAAGTATTATAATCAATCTAGTTTCTTGACTTTTATACGTCTTAAAGATGTCACTTTATAAAACTATGTAATCCTTGATAAGCTATCTAATATCAATGAAGGATAAATAGTGCATACACGAAGAGGAATGACATTAAAAAATAAGTGAGTTTTTAAGTGAAAATATTTGATGTCACAGTGACTTAGTAGTTAAGGCTCCCAGGTATCAACCAGTTGGTTGTAGTTTTGAAGCTCATCTAAAGCTTAAGAACTAGAGTACTTAGCAAATGAATTACATTTAATAAAGCATCTTCAACTAGACTAAGTTAAACATCACTCAGTAAACATTAGTTTTTAAACAACTGAACACTTTGAGAACTATCTGTATTCTTCTCTAAGCTACACAAATTTCATAAGTACTACTTTTCGAAGACTGAGAATTCCCTTTTCAATCGTTTGAGGACATCTATCGAGAATATATCATCTTAGTACTGAAGATCTAAAATAAACGAAACTACACGCAGGCAAAGCAATGTATAGTTACCTACTCAGTTTTGTACAACCAAGTATTGTCGTCAGATATCACAAAACAGTAAACTTTAAAACCGACCGTATGAATCCATATTCGGCTACTGAGGTACATGCATTATAAATACCCATGAAAGCTTCTGTGACAATGAAACGATTAATTTGGCCATCAAGTTTCAGTAGCATTGGTATAAACGACAACTATTTTGTGAGAAACGGTTACTCGAAATTAAATGAACGAATTCGGATTACAAGCCATAACTGAATGATTCTAAGATAAGAGTTGAACTTGTGAACTTACAAATCCACATAACTGAAGCTATCGTACAATACAAAGACAAGATTATCAAATATCTTTTACACTGAACTTATTTTGTTGTTTCTTGAGACCGCTAACCATTAGTCCCATATACCTACTGTTTTCAACGTAGCTGTATCCTAAATTCACTTGGTGTTGTTTTAATTGTATCTTCCCATTGTTATTTAGAACTACAAATGATCAGTCTCATGTTGGCATATGTGCATCCTATGCGGATTGCCACGATATAGCCTTAAGTCACAAGCTTTTTTAAGCAAAAATCAATAATGGCTAGCAGTGGAACCCAGGACGCACGTTTCGTCCAATTTAAGACTCGTCAGTTGGATGTACCTGCATCCCAAAGTGTGAATACATGTCATCAAGTGAAACCAGAGTCCTACTTCCTAACACTGACTTTCCTGGTGATACACCCTTATGTGAGGATGGGTGCAGGATTATTCCAAGTGGTTTACTGTGTCATGCCCTCCCTTTGTGATCATTTTCAAAATTACTAGAAAACTTCTGCTTTCATTCGTGCATCATATGGGGATGGGAAGATATTTTATTGACTCACTATATTACCAATATCGACATCAAAAACCGATTCTGCATAAACACCCATGAAAAATCCGTTCCGATGAAAGCGTTAACATTTAAAATAAAATGTTCCGTAAACAAACGTTATTATTTCGTACCCAACTAAATATTGGTACAGTGGTGCGTGAGACTTCTCAAAGATTTTCCACTTCAAAAACCATAGATGCATCATATGCAATATAGTCAGCCATAAAGGATCAATCTGCCGAACTATAGAAAGTTTGACATCAATGTCAACAAAGCCTCTTCACAAAAATCAGAACATGTATATAAACAACATATATGCTACACAACTAAAGTATAGCTGATAAAAGTAGGCATATGGGACCATTGGTTAACGGTCACAAGACAATTACAGTATTATGGAAAAATGATTTCTGAGTAAAAGAGCAAGAAAAATTCTGATTAAACAATAGGACGAAACGGCCGTCCAGTGCTTCCAGGTTTTCCATGGTGGTCTAGCTTCAACTGACTCATGATCTTAACCATTGAAGTTATTTATTTATTTAAAAACATAAACATTCGTACAAGAAGGCAACAAATAGATATGCGCCACATAAATCATTCGATTTATGTGAGGGCTAAGATACTGCTTGGGTGCCTAAACCGAAGCAGGTAGTTTTCTTATGGGGCCACACTCGGAGCCTTCGACCTGAAGGTCTAATCAACAAGGCAGTGGGGCAACGTCAGGAGATGCAGTCTCATGGTAGCCAGTCACCAACAATTGGTTTATACACCATTTGCTCCTTCAGGATCCTGGAGCCAGCCCATGTGCACCATTGGTTTGGAATCAGGGTTTTCTGACTCTTCTAAGTGGACTCTCCATGTCCACTAACCCGGTTAAAGTGCCGGACATTCGCTCTTTGTCCTTTCAATTTTGTAGACAACACCCTCTCCGCGAGAAGGCAGTGAGTAGGACTTCCCTAGCGATGGTTGTATGCACATGGCCATGTGAGAGAATTTCAAGAGGGAGAGATAACACTCACCACTTTCAGCCGTATCAGTTCATTTGGGGGCTAAAGTGACGTGACGTGACGTGACTAAACAATACGACAAATGTAAAATCTACAGCTTTACCAGACAGCATATAAAATTATAAGAAATTGATTTCATAAATTTACCTTGATGTTTTCGAGTTCAAAAGGTGTTTTGTTTGAACAGTTTGTCGGAATACCATATGGCCATATACTTGGCCTACATTCAAAACCAAAATATATGTTAAGCAAAATGTGATTAAATTAACAAAGAGATTTTATCTAACAACATCACTTATATTGAACAAAAACATATTTAAGAATAATGCAATCATCACTTAATTTATCACGAAACTATGGATGGTTTTAAAAACATAAAGTACTACAAAGTCTTCATCTTTCCATTTAATAGCCCAGTAAGCAAATATACTAAGCAATATGTTGGATAATGTAGGGACTATATCTTAGAAACATACATACATACATGCCACTATTCGCGTCAGAGCTTATGGTGTAATGTCAATTTAATTGGACAAAACATAAGATGGTCATCAGAGCTAACAACTCCGTAACATTTTAAAGATTTATTATTAACTCGAAGACTCTCATATTGACTCACAGTATCCACATGACAGTTTGGTAAAAATGATGATAAAACTCATTCGTCTGACTGTGTTTGAACAATTATGTAGTAATGGCAATCACAAGTAAAGTAGAACCTGGCATATACGTGGATCACCACAAGTTACCATACAAAATCAAAATAAAACAATCAAATTATCAAGACAAATAACTCCCAGAGAATTCAAAAGTATAACTAGCAACAGTATGGCAATAGTATATTCATAATCACAAAAATATAATAGCAACCAGAGTAAATGACCTTATGTAACCAATACGCAGCAAGGACGAGGAAGAATGATACTCTACGCCCGTAAGATTGGTCCAATAATAAATAGCTCCGAACGACAAGGAAGAATGCAAGACCGATATTTACCAGTTCAAGATCTTTGTCATATTTTAGACAAGACCAAACCACTCAGCAGACCAATTAGGTAACAGTATTAACAAGGAACAACAATATTTATGATGGGAAAAACAAGTAAGTGGTTCTAGTTTATAAGTGTGAAATGATACAGCAACAATTTATAGTTCAAATAAAAGCGTGGGACTAGGATAATACAAAAATAATAAAACCAAGATACCTAATAAACACTATATATATATATATATATATAAAGTAATAGGATAGCCTCCATAGATTTGCACCTCGTATTATTAAATCATCTCTTACAGCACCTTCCTTTTTTAAAACAAACATGGTTGACAAACCAGTCATTATGGTTCATTTTTAACCTGGTTAGTTTTTTTCGGATGAGTTGTAGCCCTTCTCGAGAAGGGCTTCAAATTGTTTGGAAGTCTTTTAATTTTCTTTCTAAACATTGTTTCAGCTGGAGAAACCGGGTCAATCGTCGTAGAATTCGGTGTCGCACGTTATGTGAGCAAGAACCCCTGTAGTATTTCATTTGATCATAAATTGTTGCTATATCATTTCACACTTATAAACTAGAACCACTTACTTGTTTTTCCCATCATAAATATTGTTGTTCCTTGTTAATACTGTTACCTAATTGGTCTGCTGAGTGGTTTGATCTTGTCTAAAATATGACAAAGATCTTGAACTGGTAAATATCGGTCTTGCATTCTTCCTTGTCGTTCGGAGCTATTTATTATTGGACCAATCTTACGGGCGTAGAGTATCATTCTTCCTCGTCCTTGCTGCATATTGGTTGCTTACGGTCATCTACGCGTGTTGAGCGGTTGTAGGGTATAACGACATCGTTTGTTGTTTTAAAGAGGTTGGTAAAATTAATTCCAAAAATATCAACACATTTCAAGAAGTCTGATTTAAATGTGCAGAAAGAAGCTACCCGTAACTTACCATAGTCCATGAATATTGAAATCGTCGAATTTGTAAGGAAGTTTACACTGAACAAAAAGAAACAAATCGAAATAAATGACACAATAAAAGAAAAATTGTGAAATGATCAAAATGATTAAATACTAAATATTAACATCATCATTAATCCAAGAACTATGAGAGTGAACAATCTTGTTAATTTGATTGATAGCATGAATAAATTCAAGTTGGGTGATATGTAAATAAGTATACCTTAAATCATTCTGATCGATTTTTAACATCAGCAGAAGGCCATTAACGATTTAGCACCTGGTATATATATATACACTGATCTATTATGGGACAGTACATATCAACACAATGAGTAAATTAAGAACACAGAAATACAAAGGATCCAAAATAATGACAACAATAATTGACAAACAAACACAAGAATGATCGAAACGGTACAATAAATAAAGTGGTTTATTCAAAGGACAGTTGATCTCACGGCACTAAATACAATTTAACATTGATAGCCGCAAGAAATAAATCGTTGATGCAGTAGCAAATTGAACTTGAGAGTAAATTCAACTTTCGAAAATGCTACAAAATACTTTGCCAATCAATATTGAGAAAAAAGTCATGACAATGGTCATTTAACAATCAAAATAACATTCATTAAAACATGAAAGACCAATACACGCTTACCGTATGAGTAGAACAATAAGTAGGTGGCCATTCTTGACTAAACACGAAATAATCCCATTCACGTTCTCCATTAACATGTTCGAAGAACACAGAATTCAGAACAAAAAATAACAACAAGTGCAACCTACAATATGAAGTTGTTTAATAGTAGATATTTATACCCTTTCAAATCATACTGAATATAACATACAATGATTATCATCTATACACATTTTACTTCCTTTCGATTTGCGTATGGCTAAGTGAAACGACAAAAAGTTCTTGCTGTAGCTGAATATCAATACATAAAATTGTTGCTTAACCAATCAGAGATACACGTTGAGACTGCACAATAAACGTAAAGAAACGTTGTCTATGAAAAGTGACTGATATAAACACACTGCATCAATTGATTTGGTTAAGCTTGAGGTGTTACACATTTCTTAGTCATTTTAAAGTAAATAATAGGATGAAAACGGAATTATATGGATCCAAGGTTGAATAGCATTTTCCATCAAAGTGAAAAAGACGTAGATGATAGCTAAACAAAAATAACAGTTGTGTGTACCTACTGGTAAAGATGTTCAAATAGTTTGGTTAAATCGTATATTTCACCGAAATCAAATTATATATCTAGTCACTGTTCAATACCTAACATAATGTTGACCCATGCAACACTAAAATGGACGGCCATTAGAGATTCGGAAAATAACTTAATTAGTAGCGATATATTGAGTGGAGTATTACCACCTGAATTCAGTGCGCGGTATGATTGAAAATAATTCACGAATCGTATTTCCAGGTTCAGCTTACTTTGCATTGCGACTGAGTACGGTTATTTCGAATTATGAGCGATTGGGTTTCAATACGAAACAGAATATATGCGTACTAGATATACTGGACGACTAATACAAAACACACGCAAATAAAAAAGAGATTTGTAAGAAAGTTGTATCTGTGAAGACGCCAGAATTCCTTACAAGACTTATTCACCCATCACGCTATGGATAATCATCGAATCGTAATTTAGTAACCGTTCAATCTATCAAGTTTGTCCCATTCCATATCAGAAAGATCACTTTAACCGTTTACAACTAGAAATTATTGTTCAAACTTCAATTACAAATGCCACTATTCTTTAAACTTTCTAGAAAATCTGATACATTTGTAAACATTTTAAGTCAGTGTAAACAGTGACTTATTATCCACAATAAGGATCACAAAAGATCACATAATAAGAGGTTACTGAGAACCGCCACATTTCATCATACCTTTAAGTTATATACCGTTTTTCCCTAACAGCGTCAAATATTATTCACAGCAATCGGATTTAACTCATAACTCAGGTTTGACAACCAGGATCATTTGAAAACGCATAATAAATAGACTGGTTAAACAAGTATGGCTAATTCGACATCAATCAAATGAAAAAACACCATTTAAAACAGCAGCAGGCTTTTCGCAGTCATCTTGCCATCATTAAGTCGCTAGTGCTAACTAAATAGTAACTCGAAATCTGTAGAATAATCTCTGAAGCGGCTGCTCACTTACAGCTGTGAAATATTTCTGACGTGTACATTTTGCAATGTATGTGTTTCAGCGACTTTTTGTTAAACCTTATCCCTAAGTAAAACTTGGGACTAATAAAGGAACTTGACCTAAAAACTCAACATATTTAAGATGTTCCAGAAACAGTGGAAATTTCAGAAATACTTTTTCGACTCCTATTATTCATTTTACGTGATTCCCTGCAGAATTCATTCGAAATCAATGACACTGCAGCAAAAGCATATATATATATATATATATATATATATATATATATATATATATATATATACGACAAGCCAACCTTACTGTTAACTAACTAATTAGAATATTTTCTGCATTCCTGGGACTAGGAACAGCAATAAAACAAAAATGCCACGGCAAGACAAATAAAGAGAACTATACACAAAAATTGTGTGAAGCAACTCACATTTGGATCTGAAGTTGATAAATTAACGAATAAAAATTAGTTTATATATCACCCTTTAAAAGTTCTGATTTCGCTAGGTATTGAGAAAATGGGCTGACAATATTCGTTCTATAAGATCTATGATCTATCAAAAGAAAGATATCATATACTACGATACAGTGCAATTAATAGATCATTATGGTTTAGTGTAAACAAATACCATAAAGTAGAAGTTGGAAGACAGAACTAAGTAAACGTACAATATTTCAACAATTCCCAACAACAATACACGTGTATATAAAATATATGGATAGAATTTGACATTCTGTACAGGAGCTTTACAATATTTCGAAACTTGTAACAGTTCGCTTTTGAAGAATAGGAGGTCAATAGACCTATATTAGTATTGAAGAAAGAAACCTTTGAGTTGATACTTTTCCGAATTCATTTACAGATGTAACTGTGTATCATTTACCTGCAACTACAAGATTCCATTATTTGAAGCTAAGCTAGTCTTTATAAGAGTACTTGTTAATGTACATTTAGGACATTATTCTTACAGGGTTACTCAACTTTTATACTGCTTCATGTCCCCTGCGAGGCGTAGTTTAGTATAGTTTTAAAACTACAAGTGCTGTAGCACTGCAAAAAATTTACTGGAGCAACTTCATTTCCACCTGGGTCGATAAGCTAACCCAATTTTTCAATGCTCTGATATCATCCTAAATTTCGTTTTAAAAACACATTTTCCCAATGAGTTTCGTGTCCCTAGTAAAATGAAAGCAAGTGATACAATGACAACAATTAATAATTTCGTTAACTCCCAGCTATTCATGTGATATGCAGTAAATTTGTAGTCAAGAATATCACTGTGCTTGTATAGCGATTCCCGTTCCACCTGCTGACATTTCGGGTGACGGGAGAGTGTGCAGAGTAGTGTGCGTGGAAAGCTCGAGAAGAGAACACCGAAATTCGGAGACTCATAAATAACAGAAGGTAATTTAATATTCGATTATTAAAAGTCTGTAAGAATCAACAATACAGAATTCCTGAGATCTGGAAAATTAGGACTATTACGACCGAAAACCCAGTACATGGACGAACCAGATTCTGACCACGCTGCTGTTAATGTGTAACGAAAACTGCGGTGACTTACACATACATTTTCACAACCCATGCCAAATGTATGCACCAGTTATGATTGAATTACACATTTATCGCAAACCATTTCATAACCAGACTGCTTTGTCGTCTATCAGAAAGCAGTTCAAGGTCGTCCATATCCCGAGCTTCTAATTTTGGGGAAGTGAGCCATTTTGTGTAAAATTTGTGATTTTTGTGCTATTTCCCCAAAGTTGGGATATTTCACCTTCACTGAAATCCCTAGAATAAGAATGAGATCCAGATGCACCTAACTCTTGCGAATAGTATAAAAGCCAGTTGTAGCCGTTCATGTCTAGCCGGAAGGTACTGTGTGTACTAGGGTAACACGCAGACTTGCGAGGTGTTAGGTAACGGAACATAAGGAATGGTAGGTTGGAAAATCAGCTTGTGCACAAAATGTGCCTATATTTATTACGGAAAGATATAGAAAACAATTAGCAGAAGCACAAGCCTACGATCAAGGCAATATTAATGTAGAAATTAGAAATATAGTTTACCCACATGGAAAGCTTGAAACCAAAGTTACCTTTCTTTTGTTTCAACGACCTTGAATGGTTTACCTCATAGGGGTCATTTCAATTTTGAAGAGCATCAAGGCGGTGGTGTATTTTAAGGTTTGCTTAACTGAATTACATGTGAATTTTACATTTTATAAAACGGCAATTGACGTGTATTCATGTATGTAACGTATATTCTTTCTATTTATTAGCTAAAGGAAACCTCGAGGTCATCTGTTCTTAAAGTATATACTCCATTTGGAAAGGTCGTTTTCCCCTCCAGGCGTCTCCCAACTACAATACACCTATCGCAACCTGCCTTACCGTTGTGGTTTACCGTGTACCTAACAGAAGAACGAGCAGGTGCGTCACATATAACAGCCGCCAACCTAATAGCTATACATTTATTAAACTTAACACTAAAAAGACCCACGTCAGTCATTTCTTTTATTTCAGAGATTGTGTCCGCAGAAAATTCGTTGAATTCTGCCGGCTTACTATTCCCTCCGTAGATCCCTATCATGAACACGTCACTAAGCCGAGGGGCAATGATCCGTCCAAGTATAGGCCATAACTGTTGATTGGAGCTTCTGGACATAGAAAGTCCATCTACATTGACATATAACTTTAAAGACTCAAAATCAGTAGTACACAACCAAAGCTCAGCGTATCTTAGCAGATTGGTTTTCAATCCTAGATGGTAGTAAACCCCACTGCCGATGAACTTTGGTTGAACACTTGGACATGTCTTCAGAACACCTCTGATGCTTTTCGGTATGTCCGGGATAAGAAATCTTAGACCATACAGAACCCGATCAGCATCTCTTATGCTCAGAGATGTATTTGACATTAGATACACCATGAAGTCGTTCATCAGTTCTTTGCGATTCACGAACTTTTGAGAGCACAAGTTCACTTCAGTATATACTATAAGATAGATATTCACGTACGAATTTAATGTTCATACCACTATTATGTGAAAGCCTTTGATTGATGTTGCTAGTGGACGGTGTACTAGTCGAAGTACTTTCATTACAACTGACTTCTCTCTTTACTTCTATCAATTAAGTAAACAACATTGTTAAACTCAGTTACCTTTTAAGGTGCTTTCATTAGCAAACTCACTGAACGAAAGAAAGTGATTTTTTTATTTCCCTTTTCGTCCGCTTTATTTCCCCTTTCTTTCCCTTTATTTCCCCTTTTTGTGTTGCTTGGGTAAGCATAACACAGATCTGTGTTATGCTTTGTAATTGTCGACGAGTTTGAGGTGAGTTTGGGTATTCCATCGTTCCTTGACTGCCATAATTTTCTTTCCATTCATTCAGCAGCGATACTGCGTTAAATATGTGTAATAATATTTCATACTACCTACTTCTCGGCAGGTAAGAAAGTATCAAAATTTCTTGACGAGGCCGATTTAACTATAGCGCAAAGTCTCATACGGTGTTTGTTTTCCAGTATCCAATACTTGTGTCATAGGCTTGTATGAATCAGTTGACTACTTTGCGCTCGCTACTCTTTGTTTTGGTGTGGTCCCAGGTAGTTGGTTATATCTAATGGGTAGTAGTCTAACCACTCGATTGCACTAATTTATTCAGTTTGGTAGTTATTTGTGGATTTGTATATCTCGTGACTTGAGTGTGTGCATGTGTCTCAGGATTGAAAAGGCCCTAGTTACAGAGTCTATCTCATTAACGAGGAGGAGGTCAGTTGTTCAGAACGTGAAAATAATAAACTGAAAATTCAAGTGCTAAATGAAAACGATTATTTCAAGCATAGCAAATAAAATAACCAACTGGTGATGTGCAAGAATGAGGGACTTAAAGCGAAAGATATGAAACGCAGATAATAAACGCATACATAAGAAGCAGTCCTCGATATCCGGCAATGATAACCGTGGTGATTTATGAGACATGAACCAGACTCAACTGATCAAACAAAATGATGCTAGCCCATCGGTTAGTACCTGTTTGTCCAATCTCCTCTTAAGGTTATATAATGAGGGAGTCGTGGTCACCTCGGCTGAAAGAATATCTCAAATGTGGCAACTCTTCCTAAGGAAAAGTGACAGCCTACCTGGGTGTTCGCTCTCCGATACGCAAACTTTAGGTGGTGATGTCCCAGTAATATGCTCGTGTCGGAGTGGCTTGTTATGCCTAATATATCGCATGCATTTGTAGAGTCATATCTTGTTATCACTTACTCCCGCAAGAATAATTCAAAATTTCAGAGTCAGTCCTCCTAAGATTTATGTTTTAAACCTATCGCCCACTTGTCCTCCCGTCTTTTTACATTGTTGATTTCAGAGAGGGGCTGAGTGTCAGTCCTAACGTGTTATGAACAACTCTGGAGTGACAGCTCTGTATCGCGTACGCATGCAGTGAAGTGCTGAGTTTGTCTTGACTGCAATACTAATGTGATTCGAGTTGTCGTTTAAGCTCTTCATGATCACTAACTCAAGCTAGCGTTCTGAGGAGACTGTCGGAGAGGGAAAGTACTTTATGTCAAAGGAGGCTGAAAGTTCACGACATAAAATTTGAAGAAATAAAGTTCTAGCCCCATTGTCTACTGCTCATTTCTTTAGTGCTGTAAGGTCCTTTCCGGGCTCATGTGTACAGGACCAGAACGCACCAATGGATTCCTAACCTAATTGACGAATGATGCGTACGTCAGATGACGAAGAGAAACCGGGACAAAGTAGAGGGCATGTAGAAATACTTTGGCACACCGTTCACTCAACACCTTCTAGACGAAGGACTACGACAAAATACAAAGTTATAAATTCATCTACTCACTGTGAAGTTTGATGTAGACGATGCATTAAAACTTCTTAGTACTTTAAACACCAGAAAATCGAAATGACCAAATGAACTATACCCAAAACGTTTCGCAAGGTAGATTTGCCGGAAGGATGCAACTGTCACTCCAGGATCACGACAATTCCATCAAACTACAGACCTATTAGGCTCATTAACCTAGTAGTTGCAACTGTGAAAATAGTCAAAAATGCCTTCATAGCATTCGTAGGACCCAACAACTTGTTAAGCAGAGATTAATGGTGTTTCAGGATGAAATTATCTTGCACAAAAAACCTCCTTGTAGAAAAAGAACAATAGACATAGTATCTAGGTTATGGTAAATCGATGGGTGTATTCTAACTGAACTTCGGCAAAGCGCTTGGTGTGGTGCCAAATAATAGACTCCTCATGAAGTTGGAAAAAACGAGTTTCTAGACCCCTACTAAATTTGTTCAGGGAATATGTGGTGGGTCTAAAGGAGAATAAAAAAATAAGTATCAAGTGATTCTCTTGGAAATCGACAATTAGTGTAGTATTGTAAGCTCCGTCTTAGGTCCTTTGCACCTTAAGCCATACGTAGATGAACTCAAGTATACTTGAGTCTCCGATGCCATTTTACTCTGATGAAGTTAAATTTTGATGGCAAATAATAGGAGGCAGATTCATTCGTACTTCATGTGGACTTAAGTTATTTTTGTTATTTATAAGCAGCTCATCGGTACATAAGTGTTGTGACGACACTATATCGGGCTTTTTTCAGAAATGCAACGATGCGCAAATTTTACTAATATTACCATATTTCAATAAATTCTGTAGTATTCGAATGGATACCGAGTTGAATTTGAAGAACAGGAGAATAAAGGAAAAGTGTACTGTGTCAATAATTTAATAGGTATAGATGAGATACAGAATGAGAGCAAACGGTATCACAGAGCGAATTAAATAACGAATCATTAATGTAGTATTGTTTGGTAGTAGAACAAGAGGTTGCTCAGTAATGGTTTTGAAATCTCAATTAATGACAAAGAACGATCGTTAAATGACAATCTGTATAGACGTGAACTTGAAACAATATAAAGAAATGGCGCTAATACCAACATTTCTAAAACTTCAACACCACACAACCAAGAACTCGAACTAGATGTATATAATGTGATATTATATAGTATTAAAGCGAATCTGAATGCAACATAAAGTATTTTACTGTACAGCAAACATACTAGCCACCCACCACCGCCACACGTTGATTGTGGTCCGGTCTGCTAGCAACTCTGTTAAACATTTTGATTCACCTGGCTGAAATTCGGAATTACATAATGAGTCAGTATTAACAAGGGAATTATCAGAATTAATAGCAGAATCATCATCCTAAAGTTCAGAAGTTTCTACAAAACTAGAATTAACCAAAGAACGATGAGAATTAAAATTAGATTCATCGACCTCATTATTCTTCACTTGGTCTATGTGTCTGCTGAGGACTGTATGGTTATTTAAATAATGTTCACCAGCAGACTACCTATTTCTGAATCATAATCTCAAACATGTTCAGGAGTCATTTCTTTGATTATACTGCACCTTGGTGATGTTTCGGTCAATAAATGAGTTTTATGTATAAAATATATAACGAGTTTAGCTGGACTGTCTTGAGTTCTTTAATATTTTATAGTGAAGCAAGAATTTGTTGATGCACGTTTCTGGTCCTTCTACATTGACCGGTG